AGAGAAAGAAACGTCGTCGCATAAGACATATGTCGCGAGAATTCCTGCGAGCCGGTATGCCGTTGAAAATTCCGGAAATGCATGTATCGGTGCCAGACTGCCGGTTTCGACGTTGACGATCGGAGTCGACGGATGCGCGCGACGCTCGTTTCTCCCGGATTTTCGATGCATGCAGAATGCACCGGAGGCGAAACATTATTTACATCTTATGCGTTGGCAACCCCGCGAATTGGAAACCCTCGATGCGCTTTGGCTGTAGCGTTTCGTGAGAAAGCGAGGTCTACACAATTCGCTGCCAACAGTGGAAAACGTTTTCTAGGATGAGCTCTCGTCGCGAAACGTATTGACGCGACTTCATTATTCGAGCGAGAAAAGTCACATCCTCTCGAAACTGTTAAAGTCGCGAAACTTTTAATTTATTCGTAATTTTTATTATATAACGCTAATGTAAAACGCATGTCATTATCATTGTGCATTCTGATTGCAGCATCGGCACAAAAGGACTACTTTTAATATAAAATTTTCATAATGCCAAGCACAGTTAATAAAATTTTGTTATAAAAAGCTGCTTCTGCTTCCTGTGTATTATCTGAAATTTGAAGTAATACATATATATTTCGTGAAAAGGAAAATAACTCCTGTAGCAATATTTTCATAATGGCTAGCAGCGCTGTTCTGAAATAATATTCGCTTCGTTTTTAAAACATGCTTAGCATATTTAATTGGAAAAAGTATCAAGTTAAAATATAGAAAAATATAGCGAAGAATTGCAAAAGAAAAAAAAATCAGAATAAATATGATATTTACTAATTATACATTTTAATGGATACATTTTTGGTCTGTTTCAAATTTGGTATTTATAATAAGCATAATTTACTTTAAAAGCATAATAATTGTTTTGTTCAATATATTATAAACAACTACTGTACAGAAATATATCATAATAACAAATTATTTATTAATATGCCATTAAATTAATCCAGTAACATTTTGGTGCCTTGATAAACAATGTTACTGTTATAATAGCAATTTAACAAAATAAATAAACGTATCCGTTATATGTATATATATATGTATGCATGTATGTATGTATATAATATATAAAAATTAAATATTTATACTTTAAAATTTCTGGCAAAAAAAAATATAAAGTCTTAATGTAAAAAAAATTTTAATTTGCCATTTAAATTCTCGACGAATTATTTTCGATATTAAATATCGTAGGAAAGATTTAGCAAAAAGTATCTCGTCCAGTGCCACGCTCCTAAAAAGAAGACTGCTCTCGGAAAAAGTCGTAAGACGACTAGAAAGATCTCGCGGGAATAATATCCACCCCTCATTGTTCAAACAACTAGGACGAGAGGTTGGGGCAGAGTAAAGGTGGTTGGAAAAACGAGCAAGAAGTAAAAGGCAAAATGGAGAAGGAGAGACGTGCAGCTTCGAGTACAATAGAGCGTCATCTAAGAAGATGTTAGTAAAACATACATCGAATACATCGAATATTTTACGACAAAGTATGACATTCCGAGAGAAAGGATGATGTTCTCTCAAGACGTTTACCAAAAGATTATAAAGTTTATGACAACTGTGACAATAAAATAAGAATATTTTACAGATCAACACGAGACGTATAAAAATGAGATTAATAAAATCATACGTTATATGTATATATTATTACATTATACAAAATGTTCTCTTAAGATAACATAACACACACAAAGATGGTTAACTCCCTGAAATTTTTAAATAGACTATTTAAAAAATAATGTAATAAAGAGATTTCTTATTATCAACAACATAGGCATTTGCGAAATATATTTTTTTTGAAACGTTATGGCACGTATTACTGCAGCATTGTTTGAAACTTAAACGGATTGCACACACAGTCGACTAGCAAAGATCTGTAAACTACTTGGCGGGCTATATCATGAAAGATTATCGAGGAAGAAGAAACTGTCGTTGAAAGAAGTCGTTGAACGACTTGGCGAGCCGCTCGGGAATTACGTTTTCTCTTCCCTTGTGAGCTGACAGGGAAAAGCGATGGGAAAAGCGCGGCTAGACGGAAAAGTCGTAGAGCGCGAGGTCTCGAAGTACGAGGAAATATCCAGAATGTATGTACGTACATACATTCGAAAACCTCGAAAGTACAGCAGAAATTCTGTGAAAACAGACGTCGACGATCGAGGTTGATGGATGCACCGCCTCTCTTCAGCTCGTACGCATTTTAGGGCTCGTCGCGAGAAACCGGGCGCGCGAAGAATGCATCACAAGCGAATGCCACTGAATGTCTGGTTTTTGCTGTCTATAAAATATGCTTGAGTTACTCGCGCAGTGCCGCATATATGGCAAGCATAATAGAATTTTTGATTTCTAGGAAAAAACGACAAGAAGAATTTTGCGCGTTT